AATACTTATACCTATATCTCATAAAAACTAAACTTGCATCATTTTACCTATAACTCATAAAAGCTAAACTTACATATTTTTACTAGATGCAAGAGTACCAAATTGAAATTCGGACAATATCGGCATATTCAGAAGTTCGGATGCATCTGAATTTCCAAATGGAAAAAAGAAAGAATTCAAACGAATACGAATTTTGCGGTACCAAAAATTTCAGATGCATACACATTTTCGGAAATGAACTGAAAGGTGTTAGACAATCCCAAAAAAATGTGGGATTCATACCAGACCCTTTAGGCGTGGTAAAAATTTTAGGGGGGACCTCAACACCAAAAAAACTAAAAAAAGTGTCCCCCCCAAAATCCCTTACCAGACCCTTGATCCGGGCAGCAGCCTAGCCCCATACCAGGCCACATGCCCTCAACATTGGGAGGGTGCTCCCCCTGGCAAATTACCTTGTCCTCATGTTGATGAGGACAAGGACCTCTTCCCCACAACCCTGGTGCAGTGGTTGTGGGGTCTTTGGGCAGGGGGGCTTATCTGAATGTAGTATGAATTTGGGGAGGAACCCCAAGCTGTATTTTTTAATTAATTTTGAATGTGAATTCAATCCAATTAGATACAAAAATGAAAAATCAAAACCATCGGAAATCCGAATAATGAATATAAAACTGATCTGAATTTCAAATCTGATAACGAAAAATAGAAAAACTGAATGGTTTCGAAATGAAAACAAAACAAAATTTCTGGTTGCTTACATATCTTTTTTTTATAAATTCTGTTTATTCGACAAGTTTTCAAATTTTTACACACAAGGGTAGGCAAGTACGGGATCAACTTCCCATCATATAAACGCTCCGGGGAGGGGGGGGGAGTAGAAAGGGGCGAAAAGGAAGACACCGAGTCGAGGAGCAGAAGAGTAGGAAACAGAGCAGGAGAATATGAGAGAGACAGTAGAAGAATCGGGGAATAGGAGATCAGGGAGGGGCAAAAACAGCAGGAAGACTAAACGGAACCAAAGTTCCCCCAAAACCCCTCAGAGCCGTACCAGACGGACGACGAGGGAAAAACTAGTGGGGGGGTCGTATCTAGCCACGACTCACGAGCCTCTCTGAAAGCGGCTAGCTTGGAGAGGATAAAAACCTATTTATTTATTAGCACTCACTGGAGCGAGTACCCATCTCAGATCAGTAAGGTCCTGTGGTCTCGTGGGATAACAGCGGAGATGAGCCTCTAGGAGCTAGCTACAAACCCGTTAGAGCGGGATCACATTACATTACATTGGTCTCTTCAGGACTCTATCGGTGTAGTGCAACAATTGTCATATATGACAAGTAATACAAAGCACCATAATGTAGGCACATTCAACTATGGGGACATTTGTCCGCCTCGGACTTTGCAGACTTCCCGTTAGTAGTGCAAATCAACATAACAACAAAAGGTAACTCAGGGTGTAACAAAAAGCGGGATCATTCCTAAGTGATCCAATGGTAGGAACCCTTTTTAACAATCTCCATGGGCGGGTAGCCGTGCCATCCCACAAGTTCGGGTATAGCGAAGCCGCCCGCTCCACCGGTCGTCTCAATCATGGGCACGGGACCCTTCCCGGGAGCCTCCGTGCCCTTCATCCATGGGAGGACCCCACGACTAGGGGCATGTGGTGTGTCATAGCATCAATAGGTGTTAAAGGGAACACGGGTTGGATCATTCAAACAATCAATCAAAGGGGATCAATTAAAGTCTGGTCTCCCATCCCACCCATGGTAGTGGTACAAGGAAGAAACCCACCCCCACTCCCCAACCCTTCCCACACTACAGATTGTCCTATTAACATTACCATTAACATTAACATTTGGGTGAGTCCCCATATCAACTACATAATAGGTACATAGAGATACTGTTCTTCAGCACATCAGGTATGGAGATAGATGCGGCCCGCGTCCTTGGTCTCTTAGATGCCTGGTGGTCAGGGCAACCTCTCACTGGGAACTATCACCCATGGGGGAGCAATCAAACCTCCCTCCCCAATAGTATGAACAACATACCCCATCACCTTAGATCGATGGGCAGCTGGCAGGTCTCTGAAGCTAGATGGTGGTGCAGTGGGGTAAGACCATGATCGCAGGAACCCTGCAGCGCATCCAGAGCGGAAAGGGGGGGGTTCCGGCTAGGTCAAGGTGCGAGCAAAGGCCCCAACTGGTAGCCCAGGTGTGGTATGGGGGGGGACCAGGGTGGAGAAACCGTCAAGTAGAGCACCCAGAAATCGATCCAACCTGCGAAATAGATGTTAGAACTCCGTGGACAACCTGGGATCTCCGCGATCCCCGGTGCGTTGCGCAGCTTGACGTGTGGGTCTGGAACCTGAGCGGGACCGTCTTCGGGCAGCCGTGGGCAGACGACCCCCCTCCGCGATGTATGATAGCCAATCATCAGGGGGCGAGATGTCCACGTTCAGGAAGTCGCCAAGGCCGGAGATATCCCTCGGTGTGCGGAGCGTAAAGGAGGACTCACCCTTCCGCACAATCAGGTGGAACGGGTAGCCCCATCGGTATGTCGCCCCAGCGTTGCGGATCTGATCTAGCACCGGGCGGAGAAGCGCTCTGCGTTTGAGGGTGTTGCGGGAGAGATCATGCAGGATCTGAAGTAGAACCCCATCGAATTCCACTGGCCTGCGGCGCCACGCGGTTCGGAGTATTTCTTCCTTAGTGGTAAAATAATGCACCCTGCAGATCACGTCTCGTGGGTGAGGGGAGGCTGGGAGACGGGGGCCCGCGGCCGTGTGCACCCGGTCTAGGATGATCATGGCAGGGTCAACAGAATCCAACAGGGAGGCAAATATGGCCTGTACCGTATCTTGCCGGTCTTATGGGCCAGTGGCCTCCGGGATGCCGCGCATTCTCAAGTTGTTGCGCATTCCCCTGTCCTCCATGTCTTCCAGGTGTAACTGTAGTTCCGACAGCCTGGGATCAGGGCGTTGGGCCTCAGACTCGAGTGCGGTGATCCGCACGTCCATCGAGGTGCATGATGCAGAGACCTCCGCCACTGCCTCAGCAAGACCACGGACCTCCCTCTTCACCTCCCGGAGATCTTTACGTAGGGTTGCCTCTACGCGGGACACCATGGTGTCAAAGTCCCGTTTGGTGGGGAGATAACGGAGCAAGGCCCGAAGGCCCTCCGGGATTTCCGGCGGCATGTCACCCGCAAGGTCACGTATGCCCTCCAGAGTGTCGGACTCGGCTGTTCCCGGTGAGTGAGAGCCCGGGAGGGAGGCATCTGGGGACGGGGAGCCCCGTTGGCGTAAGCCATGTGAGGGGACTCTTGTGGACGAGGAGGGCGCCATCTTAGTCTTACCTCGTTCCATGGGCGCCGGAGTTCGCGGGGTGAAGAACTGCTGCATGGAGGCGTCAGAGACCGGATTTTTAGAGCCCCCGTCCTTCCGACGTTTAGACATTACGGGATCCGGGGTTGTAGCAGGTGTAGGTCAGTGGTAGGAGTGCAATTGGTATGCTGAAGCCGCGGAGCTCTCGAATCGAGTACCTCACACCGCCATAGCCAGGACACGCCCCCTGCTTACATATCTAATTATTATTATTGTCTTAGTTTACATTACACTGAAAATTTTCTGCACACCTATAATAAGAAAAATATGTAGACTGCCTCAACCAACCTCTCCTCCTAATAATGCATGCTGCATGGCTGCCAGGGCCAGATTTGCCACAAGGCCTCTGAGGCTCGGCCTTGGGACAACTGGGAGCAGAGGGGAAGCAGGGATGTGGAATCTCCTGATGCCCGGGACATGCAGTTCCGGGTGCCAGAGGGTAAGTTGTTTTCTACATTTAGCCCTGCTTCAGGGCTTCAGCGATGTCACCAAGATCACTTGTTATAACACTGCAGGTCCGTCCTCCCCCTGCCACCGTGCACCTCTCTTTGCCGGCTGGAGATCCTCAGGATGGAGAGCGGGGAGCAGAGCAAGATCACTTGTTATAACACTGCAGGTCCGTCCTCCCCCTGCCACCGTGCACCTCTCTTTGCCGGCTGGAGATCCTCAGGATGGAGAGCGGGGAGCAGAGCAAGATCACTTGTTATAACACTGCAGGTCCGTCCTCCCCCTGCCACCGTGCACCTCTCTTTGCCGGCTGGAGATCCTCAGGATGGAGAGCAGGGCTAAATGTACAGTTGCTCATTTTGTACAAGTGATCTCAGCGACATTTGTGGTATAAATGCTGTTTTTTGGTCCTCACACGTGGTCTGTATCATGTATCATCGTGAAACAAGGGGAGCCAAACCAGAAGACGTCTATGCCGGGGGCCACTGAGGGGAAGTAACCAGCCAGGATGCCCAACTACTATCTCTCAATATATGATAACCATAGGAGCATGAAAAGTGTCAGGTAAGAGTGAAAACAACACAAAAATTTAACAAAAAATAGTTTTCACACTTCCCAGACACTTTTCATGCTCCTATGGTTATCAAGTATTGAGAGATAGTAGTTGGGCATCCTGGCTAGTTACTTCACATCAGTGGCCCCCGGCATAGACGTCTTCTCGTTTGGCTCCCCTTGTTTCACGATGATACATGACTGTGCTGTATATAACTTTGTAAGCAAGTTATCTGCTGTTACCAGCTCTGTGAACTTGTAGTTTCAATATATATATTATGCTGTCTTGGCCTTAAATAGTGTCCTCCATCAATTGTAGTTTACATGGTATTTTAATCACATTTTATCATGTTGTGTACAGTTGTATGTATTTTTATGCTAAAACAATAAATATTTCGTTTTGATACTGATCTATGAACCTAAAAAGTCCCAATTTGTCACGGTTTTTATGCGAATTTGTCTCTATGAACAGAGGTGTAGTGTTAGGTATGTAGTGGGTTAATTTCTGCAATACAGTGTGTAATAGATATCCTACCTTGGATGTGCTTCTTCTAGGATACTTTCCAGCTGCTCCTTAGGGTGTCCCTCTTGTCCTCCAACTCCAATTCCAGCACTGCTGTCTATCATGTCTGCATGGACGCTCAGAAAGACAGGAACACAGGTGGCTGATCAGCTCCTCACTCGTGCACACCAGGGGGTCCTACAGGCACTTCATCTGACCTTAGCTGCCTGTCTCAGTGCCTGCAACACTGACTGCAAGGACCCTCATCTGCTGCTCCAGGCATTGAAAAGGACACCCCTCCCCAGCGGCCGATTCACCTCTCTTACTCAGGCTGTAACTTCCCTGCTCAATACAGCAGAGCAGATCTACATGGAGGAGGTGACTGAACAGGCTGCTGATCCATAGCGTCGGGCAGGCTAGTGCCTGACACTCTGCATCGGACACAGCGGGCCTGCTGAGCCGAACACAATCAAGCTGATTGTGTCTGGCCCTGATTGGAGCCGCAGTGCTAAGGTGCCCTGTAATGTATTAGGCAAATTAGGCGGCCGCGAGGCCCTCGTGAGCGCGAGGCCTAAGGCGACCGCTTAATTTGCCTAATTAGAGAGCCGCCTCTGACAACACATTGCGTGGTAGTGCATTATGATATGTCGTGGTGCGCTGCAACACATAGCTGTTACAAAGGTTGAAAAAAAAAGTTCAACCTATAGAGGTAAAAAAAAAATACCTAAAACAGAATGCTATGCCCACAGTTACCCACAGTTGATCCAGAGGAAGGAAAAAAAGCATGGTTTAATTTGCTTCAACAGGGGAAGAAATTCCTTCCTGACCCTATAAAGCAATTGGAGCTTATTTTACTTATAAATAGTTAATATTTATTAATATTCTGTGCATTTAGGAATGCATCCCAAAAATGTTTTACACAGTTAACTGAGCTAGCTAGAACTAGCCCCTGTGGGAGTCTATTACACATTGTTACAGCTCTAACTGTGAAGAAGCCTTTCCATATGCAAAGATTAAACCTCTTTTCCGCTAGACACAAAAAGTGTCCCTTTGTCCTTTACCAAGCTCACTATATAGACCATTTATGTATACATGGTGATCATATCCCACTTAATTTCCTATTCTCCAGGGAGAACAAATTCAGTTTAGCTAATCTTTCCTCATAGCTGAGCTCCTCCATGCCTCTTATGAGTTTAGTTGTACTTGTCTGCACTTTCTCCAGTTCTACAACATCCTGTTTGTGAACTGGCGCCCACAATTGAGATCTTATGCAAAAGGGCATTTGCTACAATCTGTAAAAAATTTGAATTCTAAAAAATAGGGCCCTGGGTAAAATCTTTCACATTAGAGATGAGGGTATAGCACTACTATGGGTTTGAGGCAAATCCTGCTGGATCAAGATTTGCTGTCCCAGTAATTTTATGGTGAATTTCCCTGGGCCAAATTGTTGGTAATCATAATGGACTGCCTTTGAACTTAAATCAGCTGGCTTAGAAGGGTCAATAATAATGGGTATGTTATGTGCCAGTCACTTCAATAAAAAAAGGAGGGAACAGAGCAGCCATGGTGTCAGTGTATTGGAAGTTGTTGCAGAAAAAAGGATAGGGAAAGCTGACAAACTAGATAATGCAAGATTGGGGTCAGTAAGGAAACTGCACTTTTATTCTGATTGGTAGCTCTTTGGGCAATGTATTACTTTTATGCCTTTTTTGTTATTATTACTCTGGGGTTATTTGTCCTTTATTTTATTTTGTGATATTGTTGATTTAAGGCCAGCGGTCACTTTTAGCTGCTTTCCTGTCCATAGCAATCTTTTTTGTTGCTGATATATTTTATTGTATGTTGATAGGACCTTTTTTAGTTAAATTTGTTGTTTGTTTTTTTGCTGCAAGGCTCCCTTTTAAAAAAGTTTGCTCTTATTTCAGGAGTAGTATTTTGGAGTTTTTGTATCTTTTGGGGGTTACTAAATTTTTCTTTTATGTTATTAGGGCCCTCTTTTAAAATCCTATGATTTTCGGCAGGTTTTCCAGCGTGCTAGGAAGATGAAAGTCATGTGACCGTACAATAGATGCGGTCGCACGCTGCCCATACACCTGTCGATTATCATACGATTGCGGGATCACCCGTGATTATCGTACGATAATCGGCAGGTGTATGGGCACCTTTAGGATGTTCAAAGTGCAGCATTACCTTGTTACTGACCACAGACTTCCTTTTGCTTGCAGCACACAGCTGCATCGTTTGAAGGAAAACATTTAAATAAGTGCAAGAACAGTGTGCAACAAAACCAACACATTATATCACTCACATACTCCTAGAATGAGATCCTAATAGGTTGGACTTGATGGACTAATGTCTTTATTCAACCTCAAATACTATGTAACTATGTAACATTCACCGCATTCTCCTCTCCTCCTCCTATAGTAAAAATAGTATACCTAATCAGTGTATGCCTAACTTCTATCACTGCTGTGTTATTTGTGGTCAAATAGGTGCTGCCTGTGTATGCTGATGCTGAGACTGTCCATGAAAATGGTACTGTTCTGTAACACCACATAGAGCTTTAAGGTATCTCCAAACATGGTATTTAAAGTATTTTTGTGTTTTCAATGATGCTCTTGAAATTGCATGAAAAAGCTCTCTCCCTGCTATATACACATTCGCATTGGTGCTTGTCCCCCATTACAGTACCCAGCTTCCCATAATTTTTTTGACAGAAGAAAAAATGGCCAAAGCTAAAAACACGATTTGCTCCTAGACTTCAGTGGGATTTTCCTCAGAGTTCAGGTTTGTAGAATATTGAGAAAGTTTCCCTGAACCCTTTGCAAATCAAATTTGGACAGTTTTGCCAATCATTGTCATGGTCTTTATCTTTTAGGGCCCATTCACACCATGTCCAGATCATCTCCAGACCAGACCAGTTTCCGGACCCAAAATGCATCCTAATGTATCCCTATGCTATTTCTGGCCTCTGTTCACAACAGCGCAGTCCGTTCCAGACCAGACCAGAAAAATACTACTTTTCCTAGTTTGTCTGGTCTGGAATGCACTGGAAGGCATACAAATTCATAAAAAATGCATACAAATGCACTGGAATGCACCTGTAAGACCATTTTAAGCATATAAAAAATCCAACGTGGCAAAATCATGGTAAAAACGACGCACTTAAACCTGCACTTAAAAAGAAATGTTTCCAGCACCTCTTATATTAAATGTCCCGATTGCTCTTCATTAGAATATTAATACTGTATGATGATACTATGCTATTTTCCTTCAAGATGACTATGGCTTCCAGTTTAGGTCAGCAGACCATTCGTATTAATTATTTCTTTCAGCCATATTTAATGGGCTATTCATAGATGTAATTGCTAACTTGGGAAAGCATTGAACCTGTTTCAAAGGTTAGAGCTTTCTTTATTTATTCATGGGACTGATTCATTACTATTTATGAGGACTATGAGATGTGAATTTTACTAGCTTATATTATTGATGCAATATTTCAATCAAATATAAATTGGGAATATATATATGTTGTAGGCACTGAAAATGTTGTGCATTTTCCATTTGTGAGCTCAGTATGGCCCCCCCTACAATCAGCACAAATAAAAACTCCAGTGTGTTTCTCTAACACGTTTGTGCTGTTTTGTGCTATAAAAATTAACATGTGTGCTGCTTTTATTGTTAGGCGCCATTCACTTCAATGGCCCGCCAGGCCCCCTACTGCTCGGCCAAAAAGTGAGCCGGCTGCAATGCGATGCAGTGCGTTTCCGGCCGGAACGCACTGCAAGTGGTGTGAACAGGCCTTAAAACGGTACCAAGAACACGGCTGCAGGAGCAGCCATTTTCTTGGTATAATCACTTCCAGCGGAGGACGTACATATATGTCAACCCGGATGAAGTGGTTAAAAACACACACACACACACGTAATGAAACACACATATTAAAACAGAGACACACATAGCTTCATTAATGGAAAAAAAAATCACACACACACATAAAAAAAAACACACAATAAAAACACACACACACACAACTAATAACAATTGTTAATTAAAAAATGTCCCCCTCTCCTGCTTATCTGTTTTGCAGGAAGGGGGGCTGCATCCCTGCGGATTATCCTAATGGTCAAGTGGATGATCAGTGTGATCTGCATCTCAGGCTGATGCAGACCATACGAATTGATCCCTGCAAATCAGCAGCAGCACCACGAGGGATCGATCAGTATGATCTGCATCAGTAAGAGATGCAGATCATACTGATACCCCGCTAGACCACCAGGGAATGATTTTCATTTAATATATTGCCGTTTCGGCTATATTTTAAATGAGATGTGGGCTACTCGCGGTGGCCATCTTTAAAAACCTAATGTGCAGTCAGTCACAGACAGGAGGACACCGGAGGCCCGCACAGAGAACACCAATTGAGGATCTCGAATGTGCGGGCCCCGGCTTCCTCCGGTGCTGCGGGGGCCCGGGCGGCCGCCTCCACCTACTGCCAGTCAACTGTACGGCCGTCAGCCGATATTCATGCTAGGTTCACGGGCCCCTCACGTGGCCCGGGCCCCTTACTTAACTATGGGCCGTACCCCCCCTGACGGCGGCCCTGGTGGCAAGTCAGCTGGATACAGCCTGTGTGGCAAGTGTGCTGGATACAGCCTGTGTGGGAGAGGTTTAAAGTGATAACCTGAAGCCGGTGAGACTTTGAAAAACATTATTTTGCTTAAAGACAAAGCTAAAGTTGTGTTCTTACAATGGAGAATCCTGTGTGAGGGATGTCCCCAGTTATGAATTCCAGGGTTGGGGGGTGGGGCGGAGGAGCAAGCGTTGGCTGGTGATTAGAAGCCACAAGTTTCAGGATGGCTGAGCGGTGAGAACGGAGCCGCTGTCATCATGTCAGTTTCCAGATGACAGTGGCTCTGTGCATGCCCGAGCGGGGGATCGATAAGTATCATTGATATTTACCAATCCTCTGTGCAGCACAAACACCGGAGTGATCGTGTGATCATTCCAGTGTTTGTGAATAACTGGGGACAAATAGGGGGTTATTCACAAAGCTGCCGAAGGCAGCCGTGTGAATAACCAACCCGAAGTGAAGTGAGCCGAACGCCGTTTGGCTATTCACTTCAGGCCTGTACAGCTGATTTCAGCCGTACACCGACTGAAATCAGCCGTACAACGGCTTGCTGCGGCTGGGTTCGGGTCGGCCGAAGTGCAGAAGGAGTTTGACTCAGCTAATCCAACATCTGGATCGGCTTAGCCGAACCTCCGGCAGGCTACTCGTTGCTGTTCGGCCTATTCTCATAGGGCCCAAACAGCAGTGAGTGAATAGCCGAATGCCGCAGAGCGCCCTTCGGCTCAGCTATTCTGCTCGGTACCTCTGCGGTACTGAGCAGAATAGAAAAAAGAGAAGAAAAGGAGAAAATGATTGGGCTAAATCAATAGGAAAAAATTGCAAAAAATTAAAAAATGGCTTGGCCAGCTGATTTGAAAAATGTTCTGGAGGGCTTGGCAGCGAAAGGGTTAAATAAAAGTGGGCAGGAAGCCCTAATAAGAAGATGTTTGTGAGTGGAATACTTCCTTAATGCGCTACCATTTGAAGCTATATCTTACACTGTGTAAAGATGCACATAGTACCTGTTTCAAGCTCCCTGAACAGGGGAGAAACTGATTTACTTATGAGCTTTTGAGTAGGAAGCTAGGAATTTATGTAGAAGATTCAGGGCAAGAGGCGATAAAGATAAAATCCTGAGACCTGAGAAGGATACAAATGGGCAAAGGATTTGAGAAATAATTAAGATATTCAAAAATCACCTAAATATGAAGATTCAACCATTTGATTTATTACTAGATATTCCAAAACAAAGTCCACAAGTCAATAAAATATGGGAGGAATATTGGCACTGGTTATTAAGAGATCCTATTATATCCAAGCTGGTTACATCTGTACCCTATGACATATATGCGTCCTAGATCTATTAGAGACAATCTGGTGCATAGTCATTTCCTTCGGTGATGAGGAGCTTGTTGTCACACCAAGGGTACCTACAAATGTTGCTCCTGTTCAATTTGCAAATTTGTAATTTCAGGAAGTAGTCTGAACTCTTTAATGGAAGGGTTATTTATTCAAAACATTATACCAATTGTGATACTAAAAGGTGTTATTTATTTCCTTGTGTGCTCATGTGGAGGGATATGTATTGTTAAGACCAAGCATCAATTCAAAATTAGGATGTCAGATCATATTTCAGACATCTCATCTGAAAACTTATGTTCACCATTAGCGCAAGATGCAATATAAACATAATGATTATATGCAATTCCCCTCCCTCTGAGTACTTGCAGAATTTCCAAAAATTAAAGAGGAGAAGCTCTGCCTATGATCTTGAGATTACACTAACCTGTCTGAGGATTGTGCGGTTTTTTTTTAGCTTGTGGACTTTTGGACTCTTTTGATTCACACCTGTGTGTTGCGGGAACACGTGCCCCATTCGTGCTCATTTTTGCACCACATTTGCAGTGCGTCCCTATTGATTTTAATGGGTTCATATATGCACAACAAATGTGGCAAAAAATCTCATGTAGTATTTCGCACATTCTGCGTTTTTTGCATTATCTTGGTCTGATTTGTTTTACATTTTAAAAACCTGGCATTTTTACAGGGGTGTGTAGACTTTTTATATACATTATAAGGTACCGTATTTTGCGCTCCATAAGGCGCACCGGACCATAGGACGCAGAGAGGGTAGGGTTCTGACAGCTGTAGTTAGTGACAGCTGAGACAGGTATTGCTGTGATTACAGCGCCACGGTCTCAGTGATCACACAGAGCAGACGTCTGCTCTAGGCGCTCTATGGTGAGCTCCTATGCCATGGTCACGGATCCCCCAGAGGAGCGGGGGACCCCGAAAACCGCGGTGGGGGTACCGGACAGGATCGATGCTGCTCCTTTCCTACAAGTGATCTAATCAGATCACTTGTATCAAAATGAGCGGTGGCTCCACACTATACATTTAGCTCTGCTTGGCAGGAGCCGGGCTAAATGAACAAAAAACTACTGGCCCGGCCCTGGCGCCCGAAACTGCATGTCCCGGGCTTCGGGCGATAGGGATGAGGGAGCTCTCACACATTCACTCCATAAGATCCACTGACATTTTTGCCCGCCTTTTGGGGAGAAAAACATGCTTCTTATGGAGCGAAAAATAAGCCATACTACAACAAAAAAGATTCTACTAGTTTCTTAGGTTTGTGAACACCAGAAATGGCATGAGAAACAAGTAACCAATGAGATATAACACAGGTGAGTACTTACAGTATGTCATAATTATCAGATAATATTAGCCGATCCAAGTTCATAGTGGAGGATAATGGAAAGAAAATATATATGCATACATAACCTCCCCCCAAAAAAAAAAACAAGGTATACCAACAAATTGGATCATAACTAGCCTTACGGTCTCAATGTAAATTATGATTTGTAACTTTCTCTTTGATATACTGTATGTTTTTTATTTTGTTTCCATTATCCTCTGAAATGGACTGAGATTAGCCACTAGCATGCAATGACTATGAAGGTATTACTCACCTGTGTATCGACCTTACTGCATGTATAAATATACTGTATGTCATTGGGTACTTATTTCTTGTGTCATTACCAAAGTTTATGTATGTAAGTAGTCCGTAGAAATCTGTTAGCTATAAACTTGATGTGGCTTGTAAAAGGGCATCTGCCCAAAACTGTTGCTCATATACTGCAAGTCTGCATTTATAAATCATTCACCTACCCATAAATCATCTGTGCAGCCATGTACAGGAGCCTAGGATACTTTTTATCATATAAAAAAATACACTGTTGTTGTTTTTACAAAAAAACAGCTTAATCTCTCCCTCTTACATGGGAACATGTAAAAACTGCTTACTTAATGTTCAGTGATGCTGTATAATATTTGTGGCCACTGTCTCTGAAGTAATAGAGAGTTCCACGATTTTACAGCTTTCACGGTAAAGAATCTCCTTCGCTGTATCAGATTAAACCTTTTCTCTTCCAGTTTCAACTGATGGTGTCTTGTCTTCTTGAGTGAACTAACCGTAAACAGTTTATTACTGATGATCCCATCACCATTAAACAATTTGTACATTAATATCATACCCCCTCTCAATCTCATCTTTTCAAGAGTGAACACATTTAATGCATGCAGTCTTTGCTCATGGTTTATGTCCTCTAACCTCTTTATTATCTTTGTGGCCATTCTTTGGACTTTCTCCAGCTCAAGGACATCCTTTCTGTGGATCGGTGACCAAAACTGGACCACATACTCAAGATGTGGCCGAACCAGTATTTTGTACGACGGGAGAATTATGGATTTGTCTTTAGAGTATATTCCCTTTTTTTGCATGATATGATTGGCATTGCATGCTGTTACTAAGGTGGCTGTCCACTAGGACTCCCAAATCTTTTTCCACCTCGGATTCCCCCAGTGGGATGCCCAGTAAGGAGTGGTTTACATGTGTATTTTTAATTCCAAAATGTATAACTTTACACTTCTCAATATTAAACCTCATCTGCCATGCCCACCCCCCTATTTTATCCAGGTCTTCCTGTAAAATTGCTGTCTTTTGTCAAATGTATTGCCCCACAAATTGTGGTACCATCAGCAAAGACTGAAATATTGCTATTAATACCAGTCCCTATATCATTGATAAAAAGGTTGAATAGTAATGGCCCCAAGATGGAATTCTGGGGCATGCCACTGCCAACCAAAGACCATTCGGAAAATGAGCCATTTATTGATACTCACTGGACACGTTCACTTATCAAGTTCTCTATCCAAATATACACCATTGCATCTATGCCCAACGATTGAAGCTTGTAGATTAGATGTTTTTGAGGTACCGTGTCGAATGCTTTTGCAAAATCAAGATACACTATGTCCACTGGCTTTCCTCCATCTAGGTTGCCACTAACCTCCTCATAGAATATCTGTAAAAAATAAGGCAAGGCAGTTGGACTTGCTGTATTTTTCTTGAAGATGTTTCACTGGTCATCTAACGAGCTTTCTCAATTCAGAAAATGTTCATCTCTGGAATGTGGGGTTGTGGCTTTGAGGTGTGTTTGGGCACCCTGTGTTGACCTTTTTGTTAAACTTTGTAGAAAAGACAAGTGCAGAGAGAGACTTCCACTGCTTTTTCTACATCAGTTTCACTACTTGCAGGTTTGTTGCAGGTGCTAGCCACGGAGCCATCCATACTCCATAGCAAATTCAATCCAAAGAAACAGCCACACACTGCAATCTTCACCCGGAACTCCTTTATTTGTGTAAAATCCAAAATACGTAAACATAACCCTCATAACCAGAATGCTAACATCTTTGGTAACAAAAGACCTGATTATATTAGGAATATATTATTATATTAGGAATACAACTTTTTGTTTACACTATATAAGGTTCATTTGCAGAAACATTTAATTTTTTTCACATGTGATTAGTCCAGTCTGTACAGATCTATCAATTATCAAAGATGGTACCGAAGCTAGCCATTTGATAGAAAGACTCTGATCTATAATGTGTTAATTATATTAACTTTGTTGATTGATTTACTTAAGATCACGCTTGTAAACAATTATTTTGTGTTCAATAATCAATATTGTATGCCAGTTTATACTTAAACAAGATAGAAAATGTTAATGCTTATATGAACACTTTCGTAAAAGGAATTGGGGGGTGGGGCAAAATATACCAATGTACAAAAGGATAAATCAAATACATATTAATATAAACACATTTAGACAATAAAAAAACCATTTATATTAAGTCCAAATGAATTGAACAAATCATGCATGCTATGAGGACTAATCAAATATATAGAGAGCCTGGTGACTCTTACTTCTTGCCTTACAAGTTTTATGTTTATAAAGCATATTCTGGAATCAAAGAAGCTGAACCAAGTAAAATAGAGACAGATGGGGAAAACCATGATAGGGAAAGGGAAGAAGAATGAGGAGATAGCGAGAAGTACATAGGACAATAGGGTCAAGGGGCGCAGAACAGGGTACAGTAGAAAAGAGGGGTTCCAGGCATTCTCCAGTAAGTAAAACAAACGACAAACGCACTCAACAATTTGTTACCAGTTATACAGTAAGGTGCACACGAAATGACTCACAGATCAGAATTCGATTCTTTAGTTTTTAAATTTCCATCCTGCCACTCTCTTTAGATCTCTAACATGTAGCCAACTTAAGTGGGTTAACTGAATAGTCAGTAATAATGTAAAGAAAAATGGTTACAGGTGATGGTTACTAAATAAGACAATAGGGGATACTAAAAGAGAGAAATTGAGTGATGAATCACTGCCTGGTAGGAACTTGAGAAAAATAAATCACCACATATACCGTTCATGTTTCAATTATATCCACACCAATTGTTTTCTATTGCAAAGAAATATGGTCATTTACTTACAGAAAACGACCTTTACATGCTATTAATTCAAGTATCCCCTCTGCAATCATTATGCAGAAGGAGAACCATATAAAGCAGACTAGTCAGAGCAGGCTTTCAGAAAGAAAGTACCTAACTCCTTTTTTTTTACCCTCTTGCCACTAGAAAGACGGTCACCGCTCTATGCAAGCAGATGAACGGAAAGTGAGCAAGCAGCAGTATGTTTTTGCTCACCTACCAATCAATAGAGCCAACGTGTGACAGTTTCAATGTCACACGTCGGCTCTAACTATGGGGACAGGTGTAATTCAAGCATCCCATACTTCTTCTTTAAGTGACTGGTCCTGTTACTATAGTATAAGCTACCGTATTTTTCGCTCCATAAGACGCACCTGACCATAAGACGCACCTAGGTTTAGAGGAAAAAAAGGCTGCTTTTTTTAATGTTGTGCGGCTGTGCGTGGCTCCACCAGTTACATCATCCATACCTGCGTGTGTTCACAGGGGCTGGGGTCTTAAATTTTTTTTAATTTTAGCGTATTTAACTTTTTTAAACTTCTTTTTTTTTTTGTATTTTAGCTTATTTAATTTTTTTTTTTACTTCATTGCTGGGAGCAATAGCCAGGCTGCTATTGGATATTTCAAATTGCAATAGCCAATAACAGGCTGGCTACTGCACCCGCCCACTGCCTGCTGTCAATCAGCAGAGGAGGGACCTTAAGTTCTCCTCCTTCAGGTCCACCTCTGTTGATTGACAGCAGGCAGTGGGCGGGTGCAAAAGCCAGCCTGTTATTGGCTACTGCAATTTAAAAGAGCCAATAACAGGTTGGCTATTGTGGTCAGCTGCTGGACAGGAGAGGAGCGCGGGCGCCGCGGAGGGGTGAGTAGACGGCACGGTGAGGAAGCTCACAGACTGTCGGAGGTTTCTCTGTACACTCTGTAATCGGCTGCCTGTCCCCACTGACACAGATCGCTGCAGCCGATTACAGCCTGTAGGGAGAAACCACTGACAGTCTGTGAGGCTGCAGCGAAGAGAATGGGATGGGCACACATTGTCAGCCCCCCGCCTGAGCTCTCACACATTACCCTGCGGGAGCCACTGAGCGCGTGTGTACAGCTTGGTGGAATATTGGCTCCATAAGATGCACAGACATTTTTGACCGCCTTTTGGGGGAAAAAAGTGCGTCTTATGGAGCGAAAAATACGGTATTTTAACAGAGCTCATTGTGAAACTGCCATAGTCACACTTTGTCTTGTTCTATTTATTTATTATGACTGTGTGACTTATGACTTAAAACTGTTGTGCTGCTATGTGAAACATGTTTCCTTGTGTTTTTATTAGAATGACAAAAAGTATCTTATCTTGCCTATAAAGTTTAAATATTATTTTTAAATGTCAATGTTGTTGTATTCCAGGTTTGTCAAGAACTGTACAATGACACTGAATGCAGTGGTATCCAGAAAAACAAAGATGAATATGAAGTTGTCCAAAGCAGAGGATCCTATATTATGCTTATATACATTGCAATTATGAGCATAATGTCCGTTCTACCAGCACTCATTCTTGGGAATTGGTCAGATAAGGGTAGTCGCCGGCTTGGAATGATCTTGCCTTCTGCTTTCGCTGTTGCAAGTGGAGGGCTTTTTATTGCAATCTACTGTTTTAAAGAAATGACTTATTACTGGACCTTTGCTGCTGCTGCTTTGATTGGCATTTCTGGAGGACATGTCTCAATGTTTTTAAGTGTTTTTAGTTATTTGGCTGACATTACGGAAAATTCTCAGCGCACTTTTAGAATGGGAATTGCTGAATCAATGGTATTTATTGGAGGAACTTCTGGCTTTCTGCTGGGTGGAACCTTACTTCAGCATAGCACATTCACCATAGTGTTTGGTGTATATTGTGGCTGTAATTTGCTTGCAGCACTGTATGTGCTGTTTTGGTTACAGGAATCAAGGTCTTCCAGTGTATATAGTAAACTGTATGAGGAGTATCATGGTGGTGATGATGACTGTAGTACAAGTGAAGTCCCTCTAAAAAGATCCTTCATAACATATATTAAAGGATCATTTAGCACTATTTGCAAGAAGCGTGAAGGTCACAATAGAATGAAGTTTCATCTCATCCTAATCTCTGTTTTCCTAATTAATATCTGCAATGTTGGTAAGTTACTGGGATCAATACACATAGAAGCAGAGTTTTGTAATATGTGATATTTTTTTTAACAAAAATGAAAATGCATTGTAATAAACATAATGAGAGGGGGCAACCTAGATGTGTAAGTAAGTGAATGAAATTTGATAAATGTCCTGGGTAATAATTCTAGCTGAGGGGGGTTTATAAATGTTTTGGAGGACTTGAAACATATGCCCTGTGAAATGGCATGGTGTGCATTACTTGAAATAACCATTGAACATTGACGATGTCCGAGGCTTTTTCAGCAGTGAACGTGATGATGGCTAAGTCCTCCTTGGGATATATTTTGGCATTTTCTAGAACTCCAAATTTTACTTTCAGATGTTGGAAATAGGCATGGGCTCAATGTTCGAGTCAAACATTGGCAGGTACTGTGTTCGCGAACACACGAACTGTCCGGGCTGTTTGCCCGCAAGCACCCCGCACAAGTCACTGTGCCTTGTGAGCCCTGATTGGCTAAAGCGTTGCCCAATCAGGACCCAGTACTCTGTAAGAGCCATTATTGGGCAAAGTCATGATGACTTTGCCCAATCATGGCTCAACTATTACAACTGTAAACAGTTGGGCTGAGGGTGTTCGCCGCAAATGGACGGGACGGCGTTGATTTTTAAAAAATTATTTCTATTTATCTTTTTTTGTTTTATTTTGTCGAGTCGTCATCATCATGGACAACCCTGGACGTCATAATTGACGCTGGATTACGTTGGTGGATCCATTTTTTCCACTTGTCAAAAACTTGTCTTTTGTTCTTTCTTCCAAATAATGGATTTTTTTTAAAAGTCTGGCCCCTTTTTTTACAATTTAATTTAACTCTTTAATGAATGGGTATGGTGTACAAGTAGCCCTTACTCATTCACAAGGGGGCTGCATCTGGGTGCCCCTTTATTAAAGGGGTACCCTGATGTGAATAAGCCCCCTGCCCGCACCCCCACAACCAATGCCCCAGGGCTTGTGGGGAAAAGCATCGGCATGGGGACAAGGTGCTTTTCCAGTGGTAGGGAGGAAGGGCTGCTCGCTCATCCTCCCCCTTTCCTGCCCTGCTAGACCTCTGCTCGGATCAAGAGTCTGGTATGGAATTTTAGGGGTGACCCTACATTTTGTTCCTGCCATTTTTGAGGGTGAGGTTCCTCCTTCAAATTCCTACCAGACCTTAAGGGCCTGGTATGACTTTAAGGGGGAACCCCACACACTTTTTTTTTTCATGGAGTCTCTCCTAAAATTCCTACAAGACCTTAAGGTTCTGGTATGACCTTTGGAGGGAACCCCATGCTTTTTAACCTTTTTTTTTTTAAATGGGGGGTCCCTCCTAACATTCCTGCCAGACCTAAAAGGTCTGGTATTGTTTGGGACGGGGAACCACACGTTTTTTTTTTATGTCATTTTTTTCTTTACAAGTGTAATTTTTGCTGCAGCAGGTTCTATACATCGTACAGATGTGCCACTTTACAGGCAGTTTAAAGGGATCCCCCAGGCACAATATTTAAAGGAATTTGTATTTTTTATTGTTTCACTTTAAGTGATGTTAAAATCACTGTTTCTTTAAAAAATTCTATTTTTTAAAAGTGTTTTTTTCATTGATACATGTCCCCCAGGGCGGTACCTAAATCCCCATACCCTTTTTATGGCCAATAACTTGCAAATAAGCCTTCAAAAGGGGGTTAATTGATTTTCAAAGTTCTAGCCCCATAGACTTGCATTGAGTTCGAGTTTGAATTCAAACTTTTTCCATGTTTGAAAGTTCAAATTCAAACTGAAAAGGGTGCTGTTGGGCTCATCACTAGTTGGAAACTGCTGTTCTGGCTTTTACAATGACACAGTGGGATGGATGAATTAGGTCCCAAAGTAGATCTGCCAAGGGTAATGAAAACATTTTAGAATGCATTTTGGCATCTACCGGAGTGAGATCGTTTTCTATTAATCTGGTAAACTGGGGCCATTCCCTTTTTTTCAAAGTATCTTAATATATGCTTTAGCTCCTGTGGGTAAATATTGTCCTCCATCTCACATGTGTTAATACATTGCATCAAGGTGTTTAGTGTGATTTCCTGGGACATTTTGTAGAATACAGTGGAGTAGCCATCTGTAAACTGGTTGTGTTATTTGTGAGATTTTGATAATGTAAGTGATTTCCTCCAGGGTTGCCCTGATGGAGGTTTTCTGAGTCCTCTGAGCTGTATAGTTTGGTTCAAATAGAATGCTGGTAGTGGGTATATCTGTCCTCACTGTCAAACATGGTGGAATTGTAATCCTCTTCCCACAAAGTTCCAATTGTAAAGTATTTGTAATCTTGGAGCTTTTTTATCTTGTGCTAATAGTTTAAGGAAATGTCTTAGATTGTTATGAAGCATCAATGCCTCAGCCTTGCCCAGCATGAGGGGGAACCCAGCAGCTTTCCCACCCACAACTTCTGCATGTGATACATTTTCACAGATGACAAATGTGCTTCTAGCAATATTGGCATGTAATTGTTTCCAATGTTGGTGTACTTTTTATCTGTTCAGTTAGCTGTTATACACTGCAGGATACTATTTGCATAAGAGGGTGGAAGGGAGTTTAGCTGCATAGAGACATTGGTACCATCACTAAGTATCATGAGTCCTTTAATAGGAATGGGATTCCCAGCAAAGGATAACAAGAAAAAAATTGTTAATATACAGTTATCTGTAAATGTGTCAAGAAAGATGTTAGAAAAAAAGAGGCGCAAATGTTCTACTTATCAGTCTCATGCATTTCTTTTACAGAGGTGAGCAGATTTGGGTGAATGCTTGCACTTACAGGCCACCTCCATTGAATAGTCCACAAAGAGTAAACGATTATATAATTTGAAGAGCTTTCACTTTTTATAATGATGACATATGGATGTAGAATATAGTTCAGTTAGGGTACTTACTTTGTCATGCTTTGGAAAACTAATGATGGTAGGGTTACTTCTCATTGAATCGTTCTCTAGGTCTTCTAGAGCTTGCTTAATCTTCTCTATTATCTTATCACTATATTGGAAGTGTAAATTCATCTTCCAATGTAGAGATGCAGTGCTCTGCATCTGTGAGGTGTTGGGCCTGCTCCAACATAGCCTGCTACAGCTACTCAATGCATGGGGTAATACTTTGTCTACCTTCTCCATGATAGAAGGGGGTTATGAGCTTGCTTCCTCCTTAGTGATTCTGTCATCTAAGGTTTTATCATCCTCATTGGAGGATGAACAGGAGTCGGAGTGTTCCCTTGCTGGCAGTATTGAGTAGTCTACAGCCATCTTTGTTTGCCAGGTCATCAAGGCGCCTGTGGAAGCCTATGTAACAAGTGTGAAATTGACCTGTTGCAAACCAAATATCAGTACCTTTGGTGGTATGCTTTTGTATGGGCTAGTTTTGTTTGTGTTGTAAGACATGAGATAGCAGAAGCTTTTGATCCTCCTGGCTTCTTCATTCAGTGCTGGAACCACAAGTCACTTCAACAGTTTTAAGTGATAGGTGGGAGGTGCCTCTCCTTGAATTCCCTGTGACTTCACTGACTATAAAGCTGGCCATACACCGTTAGTTTGTTTTTAATTTAGCCTGCAGGCTGAAAAAATAAATTTAACAGATTTAAAGAGTAATTCCCCCAAAAAATCAATCATTTCTGGCTTGTCAGTGTATATTACAAGGATTTAAACATGGTTTTGTTGCAGTTTCCTAACTGTTTCTGTTCTAAAGAAAAGCTGTTTGTTGCAGTATGTCCTTTCCAAACTGATTCCTGAATAGGAGAGTGTGGGCTTATTAAATTAAGCTGATGGGCTTCCTGTGTTGTAATAGGGAAAGGTGCAGTGTCTCTATCCCTTTAGTAGTAATTAACCCCCAGGGAATATCTCATCAAGAAATGAAATTCCTATTGCAAGGATGCCAAAAATGATCTTGTATCTCAGTGCAGACTTCTGGGAAAATCAGTCAACCAATTACAGACACAGGATATTTATGGGGGCGTTCCGTACACCAACTGTGTACAGAATGCCTCAAGGTCACCAAAATGCATTTAGAACATTACAGCAGCTACATGTTTAAATGGAAAGGTAATTTTTAATAACATTGAATTACAAAATAGCTTGTGCTCAATTATATATGCTATAATGTTTTTTTTAAAGATTTGTTTTCTTTTTTTACATTTTAAAAGTTGAGTTACCTTTTAATGAATTTCCCACTGTGGTTATTGTATTCTGACAGTGATGGGTGTGCCACTGTCACAATACCAGAACAGTGACTGCAGTTGATTGGTTGGAGTCACTGTTTGGCACAATATTTTCTGCCCTTCTTTAACAGGGCTACCCACTTAGCGGTTCATCAAAAAAATCACAAAATGTGCTCAGTGTATGTCCAGTTTACGCCTATATGATGTTCAAGTTTCCTGCATACTTAAAACCATCAAAATAACAGAAATTGTCAGACAATATCTGTAAATAGTGTTTCCAATGTTAAGTGTAGTATTTACAAGCAAAATATATAGAAGGGAATTTATCAAAACTGGAGCAGCCAGAATCTGGAGGAACTGTATGTGGCAACCAATCAGGTTCTCTCTTTCATTTTCAAACCTTAACTGAACAAACTGAAAAGAGAAGCTTGATTGGTTACTATAGGCAACTGCTCCAGATTCTGTCTGCTCTAGTATTGATACCCCCCCACCCCCATAGTGTTTTGACTAAATAACTTTTAACATCATGGAAGTTGCTTTGATGGACATGATTATTCAGCAGAGCAGCTTTTGAAGAACGGAGGGCTTATTTAGCCATGGCTTCAAATATTGGTTCTGGTGACTCAGGTAACCAGGAAAAAGGCTACAAACTGCACTACAGGGTGTACCCTCTTTCTGGCAGTGAAACTGCAAACTTTTTGGGATTTGTGAACTTTGTGACTGCGGGTATTGGTAAACCCAAACTTGATACCTACACACACACACACCTAACTGGTTAGATGCATTATGATATATTCTACATCATC